CTACACCCACTAAATCGAACACTAGAAGATTGACCTCCAGAGGGTCAATCTTTTCTGTAGTGTAGACGTGCCCTAATTGATACAACCTGTGTGAGTGTAAGTATGATTTCATAAAGAAGAGCAAATGGATATTTTATGACAAGGTATGACTGGAAACTGTGAACCAAATGACAAGGTATGAATGGAAACTGTGAACACATCAGGACTAATACAGTTGGCTTGAAAACATAACTTGTATTTCAAGTAAAGCAGATAACTCATTAGCTCTTTGACATCCTGGCTTTTGTGCACACAATCTTCACAAAAGCAATAATGCAACTGGAACTTTGTTATTCAAACTAGTCAGTTATCCTAAATCATTTAGTACCAGACACTAAATCCTCCAATGTACACCTTCAGTTAAAGTACCGCATTAGTAATGCTCTATTTGTGGCTGAGAAGGCATTTCTCTTTTAAAGGCCTATTGCAAGAATGTGAAGCTTTAAAAACAGAAATGTTGGCACATAAGATTAAATCTTGTTGCTGCTCATCCAAAAGGTGAATTTTGTCTAAATTTTGGAAAATTATATTTGGCCATTTTTGAGTTTTTTGGAGATTAGGAAAAGGTTTTTATTATGCTTCACTTTGTTAGAACAATTGCCCTGGGCTAGCTGCATTAAAGGAGTTGGATGTGACAAGACATTTTTAGTCATCTTTCAGTGGAATTTAGAGAGATCTACATGGATATAAAATTTGTATTTTCATCCACAACTGTCCCTTTTGTTCCCCCTCCCCAATTGGCAATCCTATATGTGGGATTTAGTTTAAATTCCTTTATTTCTTTAAATAGAATATATACCTCCGGGTAACGGACAGATGGGAAAACCATCAAAATAAAACCACCATTAAACTTAACCTTTACTTTACCCAAACTAACATTTGAGTGGAAACCAAATTTTTCCAGAGGTTCAAGTTTAATTGTTCTTCCCGTTTTTTATTTAATTTTTTTTCTACCGTGTTACCCTTTCTGATTCTGGCTAGAACCAAACATGTACAAAGAAAATAAGCTAGCTAGCAAGTAACCATTATTTAAGGAAGAATAAGCTCAAATAACTTTGGCTGACCTTTAGGATGTTAATCCCAGCAAAATAATCTCTGGAGGTTAGTCTGTCATTGGTTAAAATTCAGTAAGTAACGCAGCCCAATATGCAAAATTCTTTTTGATTGACAGCTTAAAGCTAATTGGAAATTCTTATCCCATCTCAGTAAATGGATATAAATCTGAGGGTTATAGTTACTTTGCTGAAAGTTACATACATGCGTTTCAGATTGAAAATTGTTTGTATGCAACACGTTTCGAGTAATGTTATCTCCAGGAACCAGGAACCAACAACATACAAAGAGCATATAACAGAAAATCACCTCTGCTTGTTGTATTTATAATTTTATATCTTACCATACGGGTATCATTCAGTATGTGAAACAAAAGACGTGCAATGTTGCTTAGTTTTCCTTTGGCTGTTACAGCAAATCCTCATTAGGCAAAGAGTGTAAGACTACATTAGCCTAAGAAAGAGAGGAAATATGCCAGCCCAGAAACCATACTAATTAAACACTGTACATTATTCGGTGCTCTGTTTAGAAAAAAAGTAATTATCCACATCTTGCCTCAAGTACTTACTCAATGGCTGAGTGCTGGAAGAGATAACATTTAAAAGAACAGTTTTAATAAGGTTCCATAACATTGGCTGATACTAATTGCATGTGTAATGGTCTGATAGACCTGTAGGCTGTTAATTAATATTAGCTCCTAGGAACTTACACTCTCCCAAAGGTTCAGCCTTTTTCTTAACTTTGCTGCTACAGTCAGGAGTGTTGCTATGACAGCAGGGAGTGGCTCAATAATGGAATTATTATGCGATTTAGTTTTAACACACTTTTTGAGGAGAGGATTGGCAATTGTACGTCCTGGGGAAGAAACATGTTTCAGGTGGGACCTGAAAGAAGAGGATGCATTAGAGATAGGAATAGGAATTGCAGCCATTGATAACTGAAGCCTGAACCAATCTAGGATAATTTTATTTACTTTTTTAAAAAACTGTTTTCTTTAGTTCTTATTTCATTTAAATTATTTGAGATCTTTACCCGAGGAACAGAAGGAAAGGATAGAACTAGAGCAAGGAGTGGAGAAAACTTAAGTTGTGGAAAGGTAAAGATGGGCAATAAAAAAGAGAAAGGAGAAAGATATAAGCAGAAAGATCCACCTCAACTGCCTGAGGCAGAGTCTATGCAAGTCGCTCAGAATCCATATGAACCCCATGCCAAATCCATCACAGAACTGAATACAGTCCTTGTGCCAAACTGCCAGAGCTGTCATTTGCTCCGGTCTCCTCCTTCCTGCTTAAAACTCCATGGTAACTTGTCCCTGTGGTCTAAGGGGAATTCAAACCCCCCTCACTCCCATGCTTTATGAAATTGACTTATGGACACAAATATGCATAACTAAAAGATGCAGTGGTTGGTCTGAGGAAGTTACATGTCAACCCTAACTGGTAGGAGCTGATCAAGCAATGGAAGGATGGAATGTAGAAAAAGAATTCCCGCCCGAAGTGGAATCTATAAAACAATAAGAAACTAACAAGTCTTTGTCTTTGTCTGATTGGTTCATTCTCTTTGGTGTGCTACGCCAAAGACCCCAGGGAGAGGGAGACTTTGGTTTGAAAGGATTAACTGGAAAAGGAACAGTTTTAGGGTGATACCTAGAGGAGCAACCGATGTGTACATTCTCCCTTTTCATTGTGAAAGGGGGCTGCCTAAATAATTCATTTGGGGTTCTGATCCCATCTGGGGAGGGGTATCCCAGGAAATTGGGCCCTAAACTCCATTTTCCTTGGACCTGAAGAGATTCAGTGTCTGTACTGCTTCTTGCAGGATGGGAGCGGGGAGGAAGGAGAAGTGATCTCAGCTCTGTGCCTTGGCTCGGGGGAGATCAGGGAGCTGGCCCAGCAGAACAGAGCAGTGAGAAGCCCCAGAGAGCAGGAAGGAGAGTGGCATTGGCTTTGTCAGCACCTGAGGAAGCACCCCCAAAGAGTCTTCTGTGACCACACTCTGCCACAGTACATTCTGACTTCACAGGGAAAATGGATCTAGCATTGGAAGGCTCTATTTACTGAGTGGAAAAGTACATACATTCAGTGATGGTTATAATCATGCTTTCATAGTACATGCTGAACCTCTAAAATCCAGGACTCTCTGGTCCAGCAACATCTGTGGTCCAGCAAGACCACAAATATTGTTGGACCAGAGATCCCCAGCTGGCCAGGTTCAGAAGCACAGCCTGGGCTGGGGGTGGAGAGTCTAGCTCCAGCAGGGCCAGTGCGGTGGAGAGCACAGCCTGGCCACGGCTGACAAGGAGTGCAGCCCCAGCCAGGGCTGTTGGTAGAGAGGTCAGCGGTGAGAAGCACAGCCCTGGCCAGGGCTGGCACAAAGGGGAGCACAGCCTCAGGCAGGGATCGCATGGTAGGAAGCAGAGCCTCACTCCTGGCAGGCACATTGCAGGGACACAGACCCCAACGGGGCTAGCGGCTAGGTGGGATTGGAGTCAACTAGGCACGCACCCCAAACCGGCGCCATGGCAGGGGCAGCCTCTGGTAGGCCTGCTGGCAGTGGACCAGCCCCTGTCTGGGGTAGGCGCAGTGGGGGACACAGCCCTGGCCAGGCTTGGCACGGTGGGGGACTGGAGGGAGTAGCAGGTAGCACAGCCCCACCCAGAAGCAGAGCCTACAGCCAGTTAGAGAGTCTTGACAACCTCTCGTTCAGCAAACTCTGTTGTTTGGGACAGCTCAGGTCCTGAGGGTGCCGGACATAGGAGGTCTGACCTGTAGTTATTAATCTTATTAACAATAACCATCTTCGTGTATTACTGAAAAAAAAGTAACACTTCAGAAGATGATTTCTCTCAAAAGGAATGGGTGCTTCAGAGAGGACTATTTTTACTTCCAGTGTCTGTCACAGAATTTATAAATATCTTAATTAATGAACAACAGTCATATTAAATGCAACATCAATCTACCCACTATTGTGAAGTGCAGCACATGCAGCCCTAGTCTACCCTAGAGAGTTATTTTGAAATAACCCTCCTTATTTTGAAATAACAAGTGGAGAGTCCATACTACCAAGCCTGTTATTTTGAAATAAGGTGCTGGTTATTTCAAAACAGTGATAATGTGGATGCTCCACTGCTCCTATTTCAAAATAACTACTGCTCAGAGTCACTCAAAGGCTGTGTCTATACTACATCCCTTTTCTCGAAAAAGGGATGTAAATTAGACACTTCGAAATTGCAAATGAAGCCGGGATTTAAATTTTCCATGCTTTATTTGCATAAGGGCAGCCGCAGGGTTTTTTTTTCCAAATGGGGATTTTCAATAGAAAAATGGCAGTTTAGATGGGGATCTTTCAAAAATAAAACCCTTTTTCGAAGGATCCTGTAAACTTCATTTTTGTACAAACAAGTAGCAAATAGAGTCCTTCCTCCCAAGAACTTGCATGATAGTTATCATAGCCATTTCAGAACACAACTCTACATAATTGTTACCAAAACTGAATAGTACTCAGGGGTTAATACAGTAAAATGAAAAGAACTGTCACAAAAGAGGACCAAATTCAAACCTGAAAGGGTGAACCACCACTGAAATCTATCTAGTAACTTGCCCACATTGATCATAAATTAAAGTGAACACCGTACAGGAGAATACAAAATACTTCTCTTACAAAATAGGACTAAGTTGGGATTAATGATGCAGTTTCCTTTGCTACTAAGTCATTAAATTGTATTGTAATAGGAAAAAAGTTACGCTTACACCATGCCTAAATTTGCACAACACTGCAGATTTCAGGTAGTTTTCAATTAAATATTAAGATTTCATCAGTAATGCAGATAACATATTTATCATTAGTATTTTTTTGTGCACTGAAAACATCTTTGATTCATTCTGAAGCAATATATGGTGAATACTTACAACTTTTAAACTACAGCTGGGGACCTCAGTGCAAATAGCTTTAAGAGATGAAACAAAGTTAAATGTAAGGGGATCTGTGTCTTTCGAAAAACTTATGAGGAGCCGGACTTTAATGTTTCGTAACACGAGTGCTTCTCTTATCTTCCCATCTAAATATGGCCAGTACCTATGGAGAAAGTATGCAATACAGTCAGGTAAAAAGCAATCAATTTGATTTTAGCAAGGCATACCTAGCCTCACCAGGAAAAACTAAACAAAACGTGGAAGCATTTGGATGCAGTTTAGAGAACCAAACGGAGGTAGCAGGAAGAGAGTAAGGAGTAGACTTTTACTACTGTGTCACTCTGCTTTGCACAAAATCAAAAAATCCTGGGGGCAGTGAGGCCCCATCGGCCTGTGAGTGAGTATGCACCACCTCTCCTGGGTGGGTACTTGAAGAGCTACCCCCCGGGAATTCAAAGACTCATGTAAAATGAGCTTCTCTTTGTCCCACACCCAGCGGAGTAATGTACATGGAACCAACAGTGTTAAAATGGACTGGAAAAGGAAGGGCAGCTATCGTGGCTTCAAAGAAGAGGTGGAACTTTCAGCAAGTATTACTTATCCAAGCCAGGGAGAGGGTGAGACACTCCTCTCAATTATAAGCAGGAGATGCCAACTCCCTACTTTTTAAGCCTTGATTCTCAGCCTCTCTCTTTCCCCCTTTCTGGGACTGCAGGCTTAGGACTATAATAATGTCAAGAAGTTCTTGGTTCTGTTGTGGGTAGGCAGAGAGATACCCAGGATAGGGTCCCTACATTCCTTGGCCACGTGGAAGGGGAGTTTGCTGACATGATGGCTCTGTCTCTTCCCTACCACCACTCCATCACTGTCCAATTACTGGGCAATAGCAATGCAATACAAGATCTGTCTCTGTGGCACTATCTCTATTGCCCTTGGCTCAGAGCACTCAGCTCACGGGAATGACAAAAGTTTTGTTGGGCAAGTGCAAGTGTAGACACAGCCTTGGTAGTTCTCAATGTAACCACTTATTCAGTTCCAACTTGAAGTGGGGGTGGGGTAAGGAGCTGAATAATTTTAAGATTTGGCTCCAGGTATAGATCCTGAGCACTTTTGAAAATCTAGGCCCATAAATACATTGCACATAAACTTTCTTGACTTTTTTTTTTGTTTGTTTTGCTATGAGCTACCTATAATGAAATATGGCTGAATGTGCAATCTGTGCTCAGTTCAAAAAGATCTATTTTAAAATAAAATGATGATAACTTCCATACTGTGTATTAGAACCTTCAATATGTTCCCTGTCTCTCTCTCTATCTATCTGGTATTCACAGAGTGCACCTAGCCATTGTATCTAGGTGTTGAATACAGTAACACAAGAAACAAAAGTGAGCTCTACTGATGTTTCCCTGGGTCTCACTCACTTGTAGATGGTCAACCGAGACACACTTTAATCTCCGTCAATAGGATCATCTACAACTTAGAACCTAGAACTTAGAAATTGCGTCTTAGGTCCCAATTCTGCTCGCAGTTAAGTCAATAGTAGAATTCAAACTGATGTGAATGAGAGCAGAAATGGGCCCTAAGAAATTGATCTATAACAATTAACTAAATGCCTACTGATTTATTTTGATCACCATGAGCTATCTTTCATTGCAGCAATGTGCTCATACACTGTGGACTCTCACTAACCTTTTAGCATTTGCATCATTGACAATAGGGAGGTAATCCATGACAGCAATATAAACAAACTGCTTAGCGCCATCTATAACATTGTAGATAGCTTCAATATCCAAGACTCTGTCCTTTGGGCAAAAGAGTTTGGGAGAATTCTGTGAAGACAAAGCCAAATGTTATACTTCATATAAAAGGAGGGATGCTTCTTTGTCATCTTGAGGTGAGATTTTCAAATAAAATTACAAAACTTAGTGGGAAATATTAACCACTGGTATGTTAAATTATACAGCTGTGATTTCAAAGATACAAAGGTACTTAATTGCCGTTTGACCATTACACAGGATTATAGACGTACAGGAAGATTTTCAAAGAGGTCAATCATGAAAATAGCCTTTAACTTGCAAGGAAGGTGTCACACCATACATCAGAGGAATTTATTTTAAAGATTCACAGTACTGGTTATATTACATAGAAGCAGTGTTGTGGCAAGGATGCATCTAACAGAGCACTTCATTCATAAATATTATGAATTATTGTTCATTACCTTAACCTTAATTGCTGCTCCATGCACAGGAACACATTGCTAAGTAAATCACTGTTGTTACCTCATCTTCCTACCATCCTCCACTCTGTCTGTCTGCTTTGTCCACATGTTGCATCCTGACACCTAACCTATTGTGGGCTCTCTGGTACAGAGGCTTTCTTTTTTATTTGTCAGTACCAAGGACAATGGGACCCTGGTCTGTGATAGGTGATCTTAAGTGTTATTTTAATAATACAATACATAACAGAGTAATTAAAGTCATGGGCAGTTCAGAGTATCCATGCTCTCCCAGGACTGAGCTCTGTATTACCAAAAAAAAGCAACTGCATTTTCTTTTGTCTCTCTCAGCCACTCAGGAAGGACTGTAATGTTGCTAAGCAACTGTATCATAAGGATTCCTGAATGGAGAATCATTGATTTACTGTGATGTTCACATCTCACACATCAAGAAAGACTAGAAGAGAAGAATATTTTAAGATAATGAATTTAGATTCAGGAAACAAGGTACAAAATAAAAGATATAACTGAGGTAATTTATTTCTATTATCTGAATCTGTTTTCTCAGGATATTGTATACCAATTGATTTATTTCAAAGATAATACACTATTTCCTCTGTAGAAATGCTCAGGGTACAAGTTACGAGCAAAAAGACAAACTAGCTATAAAATCCAGAGCTGACCCAATCTTTCATGGAAGCATGTTGATAACTATCCATGCATTAGCTGTGCGGCGGGCTGTCCCTTTAAAACACTACCTCAGCGCAATTCAAAGGAGCAGCCGTGGAGCTAGGGGTCAGCTGGGAACTCTGCAGCTGATCTCGGGCTCCTCACGGCATTTCCCCAGAACCCAGGAGTCCCCAGCTGATCCTGGGCTATGGGAAAATGCCATGTGGAGCTGGGGTCATCTGGGAATTCCCAGCTGACGCTGGGCTCTATGGCAGCTGCCCCTTTAAAACTCCACCTCTGTGCATTTCAAAAGGGGCAGCTGCCGTGGAGCTCGGGGGCAGCTGGTAGTCCCTAGCTGACCCCGGGCTCCTAGTGGCATGCAGCATAGCATGGAGCCAGGGGTCAGCAGGACTTCCCACTGGCTCCGGGCTGTATGTGGAGTTCCACATTCCTCCTTTGAAAGGCAGAAGAGCCCTAGAAGGGGCTCTTGTACATTTCAAAGGAGGAATGAGGAAGCACCTATTGACTAGTCAATGGAAATTCCATCGACTAGTCAATTAACCACATTTTAACATCCTTAGGCCCTACGCATGCTGTCTCAACCCAGGAGGAATGCTTGTTTGTTACAGCAGCTGGACACATTGAAGCTGATCTACCCCTGGGAGAGGGGAGACTCACTATTAGGTTAAGGGCTATGGCACGAGGATGTGCTCTCTTCTCTTTCATGCATTAATTTATCATAAGAACTTGTTTGGAGATAGTTGGTGTCATTTTCATTTGTGATCATGGTAAATGTGGTAGAAATGTATTGTACCATTATTTGCCCTATGAAAACCTAGTAATAACAACACTCTTTTGTGATTACTGGCTCATCACTGAATTTGCCTCCAAGAAAGAATTTAATCAGTACTCACCATTTGTTCAGAATAGGGCAGCAGGTTTGCAAATTGGTCTGAACAACTGAAATCATATTACACTCACACTGCTTATAAAGTCTTAGCCCTACTAACTTGGTGAGAACCTTTTAAAAAAAGGCTCTGTTTGAGATATTCCTTGAGCATCTTTTCAGTAGGTAGATGCACTCACACATCAGCTACCTTTCAGGAATTCAACCATGGTACATTTGGTAGACAGGTTTGGTTTGGCTTTGGTTTGCCATCTCAGTCCATTTCTCCCTATTAAAAAAAGGTTTTTTTTGTATGCAGGGCCCTTTTACCTTCTCCTATGTCTACTCACCCTATTAGTACTGGACATTCTCAATCAGTTTTAGTTGCTTCAGTTGTGGAAATGTCTAAATGATCTATAAATAAAAGCTTCTGGTTTTATATAGCTCTCTGGCTGCTTTGACGGGGTGGGTGGGGAAATGCTTAACAAGATGGTTATGATAATTAAGCAACCAAAGCCATATTGCAAAAAAAACTGAGATTGAGCTCAAATTTTAGTAAAATGGTAACAAGATTTGGACTAGCGATAATTAAAATGTTAGATACACAATTAGTCCAGTCAACTAAATTCTTCACTAAGGCGAAATTTGCAGGTAATAAGTTAGCCACATGAGGGCTCTCCTGTTGTTCCTGACTATAAGAAAAATATTGCAAATTACAGTCCAAGGCAAGTGTAATAATGCAAACATTAATTTTCAACATGTTACATTTATAACAGTTCTCTAGATACAGTTACAATGTCAAGAAAATCAGACTGAACTTATTATTCTTTCCATCAATGCAATATGAAAAGTGAAAGGGGTAGGAGGGACTATGAATTTCACTGTATTTGGTTACAGATTTTCCCCACAAAAGTACACCTATTGAAATGGTTATTTTTCCTCCCATGAGAAAGTGATCCAATCTGTCAGCAACCACAGATTTCCCTTGTACTTCTGTCTTGTACAGCTTGTAACTGTTGAACTTTCTCACTTTGTCATGAATCTCATGCCATGAATCTCAATTTCAACAGCTTCTTTTGGTTAAGGAAAAGTAATGGTGCCTATATTCTTTTGTTCAGCCACATTTCAGAGGAGTACCCAAGCATGTCCTTAAGTTCCGTTATTTATCAAGGACTAAAGTGCTTTCCTGAACAAGAATGATTTCTGGGTGTTAAAAATCTAAAAGTGGAAAGGTTTTACACAGAGAATATTGGGTATACAAGAATGCTGGAACACACGTAGCAACCATTCTCTTGCTAGTGAGCTTTTGTCAGAGAGCAAGTTATTCATGTGCTTTGTTAACATGTGCGTCTGTGTCTGTGTGTGTAGAGATATGTTATTTTACATGAATAGTATTAAAACCTCAGACTGACCCAGTATCTCTATCTGCAGTAAATACTATGTTGTAACAGGAGGTTCAACTGAAGGTAAATTTCTGGGTCCCAATAAAATTCAGGTGTTAAATGGTATTCCCCATCTTTTTAAACAGGCAAAAAGACATTCTCTTAAGAACTCACCGACACAAAGAGCTCTGATTTTGTCTCATTCAGCTGAAGCATCAGTTTATGTTGTGTATCATACACCCCATACAGTCTCTTAGACCAGCTTGGAGGCACTTTATTCTTGTATTTTAATGAGCTATACAAGGCAAATATCCTTTGTAAATCTAGGACGAGGCAGCTACAGTTGTACACGATGACACCGAGTTCTTTCATCTGTAAAATTAAAGTTCGTACCATTAACAGGGTATCTGGCTAGCACATTTTTTTTTAAATATACAGAATGCATACAAAAAACATTTCCACGTGTATATCCTGGCCATTCATTTTTAGGTGTTGTTTTAGATCTGCTCCTCTTTCAGGTGTTTTTGGTTTTGTTTGTTTTTTGTTAGTTTATAAGATTAGCATTCATTCTCGGTGGAATGGCATGTTAGCGGGCTGTGGCACAAGCATCAGTGTTCACCTCCAGGAGCAGTTTTGGTTTTCTAGGCTACAGGTAAGTGAGTTAATTCTTCATGGCAGAAAGGATAAGATGTTCATGTTTCATATATGGCAGACATGATGAGAACTTTGGTCACTATCAGTAGTCACATTTGCTGTGGCTTTGGGTAACAGAATGGTTCAGTGACTAGGACACTGCAGTTGGAGGCAGAAAAACTGGAATCTATCTGATTCTGCCATTGACAAGGTGTGAGACCTTAATTAAGTCACTTCACTGCGTAATGCTTTAGTTTCTCCATCTGAAAAATGAGGACAATTCTTTCTGTTCTCTTGAAAAGTATTTGAGATCTATGCACAAAAAGATCCATAGAAGGTGAAGTACTATTGTTATTTCTTGTTCTAAGTTAAAGAATATATACAAAAAGGTAAATATTACACTGCAATAAATGTCTTTTTTTTCTTTGACTAGCATTAGCATCACACTAGTCAATGCATTTAACTGAAAGCAACTATCCCAGTTATCTTCTGGTTTGACTTAGATTTTACTAAATATATCCAGGCCCAGCCATAGGGAGCTCACCAGACAGGTGTTAGAGGCATTCATGGAATGCAAGTACTTTCCTTTCACTCCCTGATAGTCCAGGCTGGGAGCTACCCAGCTGTGCGGCACAGCCAACCACAGCGTACCACCTTGGACCCCACATACTCTTTGGCCAGGCCTGAATACTCCTCTCTAGTATTTAATATGTTCATATAAATTTCCTCTATCAATGGGTGACGCATATCCCTTCTGCAGTCACATCGTGTCAGTACACATAGTTTCTTTCTACTGAGTACAAAGAAGTTCCTCAGTACACATAGTTTCTTTGCCCTCTTTTGTTTTATAATGGCTCAAGAAAGATTTTCACTGCTGTGGGTCATAGATACTGTCGACCTCCCGTTATCTGCATTCCACCCTCATTTAAACAGCTCCAAAAATACAGATGGATGCCATTCACATACCTAGCTGTGTCTTGGAAAACAGTATGTGCTTATTCCAGATTAATGCTTAATGGTTGCTTGCTGCCCTCTGACAAGTACAGGGTAGCATAACGCAGACAATGTGGCATCGGGGTGGACGGAGCGCCAATTCTGCAGTATGCTTCATTTCCCCTGACATCAGAGAAGCCCCTTTGCCCTTTGTAGTGTCCTTGGGAGCAAGCCAGTTCTAACAGGTATTGATCTGGTTACAACATCTTTCCAATGGATCTGATCCTGCACCATGGAAGCCAGTGGGAACTTTGTCACTGAAAACAAGGTGCAGGATCCAGCCCTAAGGTTTTATGGCCCTCCCCAAAACCACAAAGCAAACTGCTCAAGTTAATGCTGACAGAATTAGCAATAGCCTCCTCTCCACACTGCAAGATCCCTGAGGAGAGAAGTAACTTGACAGAAACTTTTAGCAATGGGGTCTAGAGAAATGAGCCTGCTCATGGATGATATGTACATCAGGGCTGTGTGACTCAATCATCTCCTCATGGCTAATTCTTGCTTTGGTCTCTGTTATATGGTTACAATTTTCCTTTCTCTGTATTCTTGGTATTCATGTTCTTGGCTCTTAATGTTACCAAGACTCTCTTTACTATTCCATTCTGTGCCCTCTTCCCATTAATGGAAGGACATTGTTATATCCGAAGAGGCCACCTCAGTTTGCCACACTTGCATCCATTGTAATGATTTATCTGGCTGGGAAATAGCAGAGAGAAGTTCTGTTCCTTTCAATCCACCAGCAGAGGAACTACCACAGTGCGGGCTGACAGATTGTACATTATGCCTTGCCACAGTGACCAATTTTCTATACCTAGTTCTTCAAGATCCTCTTACATTGTGTAAGATTGAAAAAAAGGAATCCTAGTATATGCTAAGGGTATGTCTACATTGCAGAGTAAAGCTGTGACTGCAACAGTGGTGCACAGGTAACAATAGCAATGTCGATATGGCAGCATGGGCCACAGAGGGGGCTAGAAACCAGAGCCCATTTGGAGGCACCCCAGCAGAGTTGCCAGACCTTGGTAAACCCCATGTTGCCATGTCTATCATGCTAATGTTACCTAAACTTGCCAACTTCACTTGCAGTCTGGACATACTCTTGCTGACAAGAAAAAGCTGCTTTGTGATAAAGGGTATCTGCTAATTGCTCATCTGTTTTCAGATTGGTGGTGAACCATTTCAAAAGTGCATACTCATCACCTACCTTTATTGTTTGCTTTTTAACATTATTTAAGACACTTTGATTTGAAGACAAGTATCCCTGTTTGTATTAAATCAAGCAGTGAATCCTTTCCCATGACAGACCCATCTTCCTCTATGCTCTGTTGCTTTTTACAGCTATGTGCAGAATATTCGGTGGTGAGGAAAGGCTGCCCTTTCCCTAGTTAATTACAAAGCCCATGATACTGCAGGCATTTCAGGGCCTGGGCAGTGATGATATCTCTTTCAAGGATGGATTTTGCCTGAAGGAGTATGTTGCCCAGTTAAGATGAAAAGATTCCCTTGTTATAATGTGAGGACTCCTATTGTTATAGATATGACTTCTTGAAAATAGCTTCAGAGGAGAAATAGAAAGAGATGGCTTTAAACTAAGAGAATCAATATCTGAGGATTATCTGGCTGAAACATGCAACTAAGAATCATCTTAGAGATCTTATTACCCTGGTAAAATCCTCCAGGGTAAGAGCTAATAGGGTAAGCTGTGTTTCTTCACCCAGTGTTTTGGAAGTTACTTATACCCTAATGAAAACCCCACTAAAGAACAGACTAGAGAGAACTCACAGCCTGGAAAAAAAGTCTGGAGGAAGGAAATCTACGGAAGTGAAAACAAGAATAACCAGTGGTGGGTGTAGCAGGAATCTCTAGGATTGTCCTTAAGTAATCACTTTAATAAAGAGCATTTAGATGCCAGCTTGCCCAAATACACAAACGGCCCAGGGTCCTGAAAGTGAAGCAAAGTGCACATTACTATTAGCTCCAAGCATCCTGGGCAGCTTCCAGGATAACACCTACAGCATCCATTTATTGCACTGAAGAAAACCTTTTAGCAAATTCATGTGACCTTTTAGACCCTGGCCTTTTAGACAACTGACCTTTTCAATACATTGCTGTGCATAATTTTCACTATGTTTGAAAACAGATCCCATTGCAAATGGATGACTGAAGCAGAAACAGTACTACACAGCAAGTTAATGCAAAAACAAAATGCATGCTACACTGAGCGTAACACCAGCCATTAGAGCATGATAAATCAATTACTAGGGTCTATAACGACCTAAGCTCCTTGGCATCTTATAAATAAGAAATTACATAATTATAAAAATGTTTAAATGCCACTGTAGACTTGGCCATAGTTATATACAGCAGCAACTTTGCAGTCAATTAATAAGATGTGCCATCATTATTCACTTTGCTTATGTACCAAAACATCCCTTTCTATCACTTATCAGTATTCCTTGCCACTGACTGCTCACTTATAATATTATGTAGCACTTTTAATGTTGCATGAGTCTTCTCAAATCATACATCATCATCGACTTCTATGGGCATTTTCATCCAGTATTTAAAGGGACCTAGTATTTGCTTCAGCTTGAGCTAGTCAACATCCGGAGTTTAAACTGAACTAAATGGCTCCCTAGCCCCAGACTCATAATTCCACCCTTTTCTGACACACTGCGTAGGCATGAGTTCACTGCGCTGTTTCTGGGATTGGAATCTCAACCCGATGGGTGTGTCTAGACTACCTGGATCCGTCGATGGAGCCATGTAGATGAGGCAGAACGACAAAGGGAAATGAAGCGGCAATTTAAATAGTTGCCACTTCATTTAAATCAAAATGGCCACCACGCTGTGCTGATCAGCTGTTTGTTGGCACAGCGCGGCAGTCTAGATGGGGATCTGCTGACCCCAGAACCCTTTGTTTCACGAGGCTTACAGGATATGCCGACAAAGGGGTTCTGGGGTCGGCAGATCCATGTCTAGACTGCCGTGCTTCACGAGGCTTACAGGATATGCCGACAAAGGGGTTCTGGGGTCGGCAGATCCATGTCTAGACTGCCGTGCTGTGCGGACAAACAGCTGATCGTCACAGCGCGGCGGCCATATTGATTTAAATGAAGCAGTGATTATTTAAATCGCTGCTTCATTTCCCTTTGTTGAGTAAACTAATCTACATGGCTCCGTCGATGGAGGCCCCCTCTACAATGCACCCAGTCCCCTTCTGGTCTTCTACAGACCCACCGTCAAGAGCCTTGAAAGAGCCCAGGATTCACGCCAGTCCCAGTTAGGGTGCTTTCACCTGTGGCAATGCTTGGCCTTGGTGTCACTGGTGTCATGGTCCCTAAGCATTCCCAGTACTGCCTCAGTAGTGTCCCCCACCACGGCCATGCCACACCCTATGAGGTGCTGCTTGCCCCACCTCAGTAACAATCCTTTACAAAGCTCCACCTCCTGTTACAGCTCACGAGTCCTCCCACCCCACCTCGACCTGCCATAAAATGTCTATGCCCAGATGTGGCCTTCAGACAAAAAAAGTTTGCTTACTCCTGGCTATTGCACACAATGCTGCTGCAAACTACTTTCTGAATCCTTCAACTGCTACCCCCACACTGCTTTGTGGGTGACCATTGCTTACCTGTCTGTTTACCTGTGTGACCTTCCTTGTTCTGGAGTTATGTCCCCGCCCCCCCAATTTATAAACCTGCTATTGGCCAGTTTTTCTCTATTTGCTCCTGGATTTCAATTTT